CACCGCTTGCGGAATAAACGCACTTAAACACACTTCAACAGCCGTTCACACACGCTGTCCGCCGATGTCCACGGCTTCGGTACACACTGACCCGTCCGCCACCTCGCCCGGGGCAACGAGGAGTCGAACTGTGGCCGGACCTGTGTCCGATGGGTATGAGAGGTATGGGTTATGAGGGGTGCTTCAGGGTATGAGGTTCTGGGTCCAGTGAATGCACCATTCCCCTACCAGTTTGACCTAATTTTGCTGGAGATGGTCATACAAATAACATCAAATAACCAATACTTAAAGACCTTAAGGAGGTAAAAAACAAAATAAACAGGTTTGGCTGGGTGTTTGGACTTGTAGGGGTTTGTTTTCAATACTGATGTGACTCGAAAGATGTAAAGATTCGAGGGAAGTAGTTGTGTTTCGTGGTTGCTCCTTTGATACGACCGCGAAGCAGTCGCCTCATCGACGTTGAAGTCGTCGGTGTTCGTCAGTGGAACGTCGGACGTTTGACCTGACTGACCGTTCTCGTTGGACCTCGCGTTGTTTCACCACCCGCTTTGGGAATCCCATGTCCCACGACGGACCTTCGTACGGACCTTCTGGACCGGGACCCCAGACCTCGTGGCCGGACCGCTGACGGACGGAAACCAGCGGTGATTTCACCGAATCGGAGTCGAAGAATTGGAGCTTCCAGAATGGACCAACATTCCACACAACAATTACAAAACAAACAATATCATATACCAGCAGTCACAAAGGGGTGGTGTTTAGTCCCTAAGTGAGTGGATAATGGGCACCCCTAACCTCCATTAAGCACCCCTTTGTGACTGCTGGTATATATAATCATTACAATTCAACATCATTTCAAACAAACACCATGCGGTGCCGACCGTGTTCCAAACCGTTTTGGTCCGATTCTCCGCCAGGCGGCGAGTAAGATGGTGGTGAAGCTGCTGATTCAGCCGGGGGCCACGGATGGCAGGGACGGCAGCCACGGCGAGGAGGAGGACGCCTCATGTGAAGAGTTCCAATAGATGAGCAAGGAGTTCAATCAACAGCTGTAAATGAGACTATTAGGTCCCTTCCCAATTGACATAGTTGATACACATTTACCAAGCTTTGTGAAGATCTCATCCAGTATTTGTTTAATCGATTGGCACCACTGGCATGCGGTCGGAGGGATTCATTCAGTTTGTACCAGGGGAGAAAAAGTTAGCTGCTGTTTTTGTCATCCATTCAGCCAATGAGGCAAATTGGACCAAGTCGGATTTGGACCTGCAGCTGTGTATTGATGATGTTCATTGAGCCCGATTCCTTGTCCCGAACACCTTTGTATAGTGGTTGATTGTTGCTGGCAGAGCTTATCTACGTAGATCTTCGTACATCTATAGAGAACTACAACTCTTGTTTCCATTTGTCCCCTTTGTGGAGTGAGGTGACATTTTGTCATAATTCCCCTCATGCAGGGCTCTTGATTTTGGCTGCATGGCCGTTCAGAGAGTTTCGGATTGTTGATTTGAGCCAGTCGACTGACCGAGGGTAGATCTCACCAGCTCACCACAGTACCATACGTCAGTCCCTCGCTTGGTCGCGGTGCGCGGTCGCGCGGCGCGAGCGGCGTTCGGCGCGTCAAGACGCCCCCCACGTGTCAGGACGCCGCTGAAGGAGGTCCCCGATGCGGTGGTGGAGTTGTTAGCCGAGATGGTCAAGGCAAACCCCAAGGCCATGTTGGTGGTCTTTCGGAGGTCATGGACGGTGGAGACCGTGCAGAGTTGTGAAGCGTTTGGAAAGATCATCGGAAGGGGAGAGGCATGGACATTTTACGGCAACCCAAGGTGTCTCAAGGTAGTCACAAGACGAACCCACTTCAGGTGTCGGGGAACGAAACGAAAGAAAACATCGGGTGTCACGTATCCCAGCAAGAACTGATGTTCGACGATTCTTGGCACCACCAAAGTAAGGAAATTCCTGAACTTCGGATCACCTAGTCAGATCATTTCTAGAATGGTCAACTGGACTCCCAGGGTATGGTTTGAATTGGGATTCTGGGGTCAGCGTGGAGGTGTAGCATCTTCAGGCTGCTTGTGCTGCGACACCTGGTGTTCCTTTGTAGGTCTCAACCATCTACAGTTCGAACTGTCCAGAGCTTCAATTTGCCAGAGCTTCTTCTTGCAATCTGTAAGCTGAGAGCCCAACCAGGTAGAGCGACAAGTCACCAACTGCTTGCCGTCACGCTCGTGTCATCGCACGCGCGCCCATCTCGTGCGTGTTTGACGAGGTCTCGGACCCCGAGTCGGCTGTCGCAGAGGCGCCTTTACCGGTGGACCGGTGGACCGGTTTTGCGCATCAGGTGATGTTCGATGTTCCCGTCATGGTGGTTTACTTTTTGTCCATGTTTATCAGCAAGTCCAAGTCTCAGACTGGCATTTTGACCATTGACCTCCTTTGTTCAACCAGCCCTGTTTGCGGGGCAGTCCCTGGCAGTCCCTGGCAATGTGCGGTCGTGGCGCTGGGCTTGGCACTGGTCTTTTGCGATACTCTTGGAGTCATTGAACCTCTTTTTCAACCAACTCCGGGATTGACCATGTGAAGTCGACGTGTGTGTCCATGTCAACCATGTGAAGTCGACGTGGGGCAAGGTACAGGGAGTCTTCGAACTTCAACATCTTCAACTGAAAGAAGGTTCATTCAATTCTAGCCTTCCAGATATAGCCAATGTCCCTTTGAGCCTTAAAAAACTGGACGACATGACCCCAGTTTTGAAAGGAAAAGGCAATATGTTCGGTGATTGGTGGTAAAAAAATAGAGATCATTCAGTTCTAGGGTGTATGTCTTTACATGACCACTATAGGTGCGTCTCAATACAGCGGTTCAACACCTCAATACAGGGATGTCGGAGTCGCCCCAGTCACCCGTGTCAGTGCGTCCGGAGTGTGACATCGGGGGGTGCCGTGGTGGTGAGACCTGGTTTTCTAGGGATCCAGTTAGTACCGAACCGACCCGGTTCGGTACGACTGGATCCTCCACCTACATGACAGTGTCGAACACATCACCGTACCGACCCGGGTCGGTAAATCGGGGTCCAAGTGTTCAGGACTATGAGTTTAGCTTCCACCCGCTCGTTTTGTTCTGTTCTTGCGCGCCGCGGCGGATTCTGTGGTCCAAGTTTCAAAATAGATCTCACGATTTGTGGCGAATTGCCACATCAAATCTCAATTCCAGAGCACCGCGTGGTGCTGAGCACGGCGGCTGTCGCTGTCCACTTTGGGGTGCTGTCAGACAGCACTATAGTGACAGTGCCATGAAGTTGGACATCGACCGAGAATTCTCGGAGGAGAGGATGCCCAGCCGCTGGGTGTATCTGAACTCAATACGAAACCTGTCTCGCCCAGTGCCCAGACGCTCCGTTCACAGCCCGACCGGTCCCTCAAAACCTATAGGGATTTGCTTCGACCCCAGACCCCTGACCCGACGATTCGGGGCCGAACGCGTCGCGTCGACGGGTGGCTAGGAACTCGACGGGTGGTCGGTGGCAAGTTCGTTCGGCTGAGCTACATTCCCATAGCGATTGGCCTCCAGTCCTACCTTCGTTTCGGTGAAGGTGGGACTGGGGTGGGTGCCAGAAAAAGTCCAGTCATAGCGAACCTGAGGAGGTATGACTGGAGGTGTAGGGCATACCGATTGGAGACCTGCAGTATTGCGAGTGATCGAAGAGAGAGCCAGCCGGTTCGGGCTGGTAGGCAAACAGAGTGAGCCGGGGCATTCCCACCTTCTTTTGCCCGTACTCTTTGGCTTTGCACACACTGTTTCGATGAGGGTTCCTATTTGTGGAAGTCACTGGCAGTTGTTGCTTGGTGTCAAATTCACCAAAGCTATGGCTATGCCATGTCGTTCCAAGCCAAAGTTTGTTCCTGGAGGTGCACTCCTTTTCTCATCTTCTACCTCGAGCCTCCGCAAAGACCTTTATCAGCGTTTTTGTTGTTGATCTAATATGTTTGCGTTTTTGTTCGAAAAAAATGCGTTTTCAGAGATGAGGAGTCAAAACATGGTACAGAGTGAATCTTCATCCGGACGCGTCCGGTGCGGACGCTTAAAGACGCCTTTGGGACGCAAAAAGACGTGTTTTGGGCGCCTTTGGGACGCCGAAAAAAGGTCTCAGGACACTGTCTAAGGAGGATCTGACAGGGCACAAACAAAAAAAGTAACATGTCATGAACTATGAAAAAACATGTGTTTTCTTTCAGAAACCTCTTTTTCTTGGAAAGGCAAATTAAAAAGCAGTACTCAGCTGCTCACTTTTCAGCTTCACATCGCATCCTTTGCTCCAGCTCCCTCCTCATGTGATCGCACTCTGCTTCTTGCTTCTCACATGTTCTCGCTATCGCCGAGAAGCTCTCGCCGCACACAGGAGATGAGGCAACTTCAAGATCTGGGAGATCCCATTGAGGAGGCCACCTCAGATGCCGAAGCCGAAGACGCAGGCGCGGCCGGGCGCCGGCATAGAGGCTGGACCAGTCCAATGGGTTCCAACCGGATGGTGGACACCGAAAGACGTCGATGCCGGTCCCCCGGTCGTGGGTGTACAACCAAATGGTAGACCTGGTAAACTTCAAAGTTACCCAGACTGAGAACGGGGCTGATGAGGTGGTGCCGATCAAGGTCACAGGCTGGTGAGGACCCTCAAGTTTGGTCATGGTACCCAACTTTTGAACCGATGGATTGTGCTTTTATGTGTTTGATTACACATGCATACACAATATACTTAATATACAATATAACTTAATATAACTCTCCAACAGGTGGCCACCTGCGACTTTTAAGTCAAAAGCCTCCAGAGGAGAACTGTTGGAAGGTGTTGGTATATATGTTTCGATCAAAGCACCGTCATCTGGATCTCCCGTCAGAAAAACCATCAAAACGATGCACCTCCGGTTGTATCCGGACGGTCGTTGTTCCGCGCAGGCGAATCCAGTCCGGGGGACTCTCCCAAGGAGGCTGCAGAGAGCGTCATGACGACGCTCGGAACGTTCGGGCTCGCTCGGTGCGAATGGGGCGATGCCCAAAGACGCCGCTGACAACGCGTAGCTGACAGATCGGTACAGCGTCATCAAACTGAAGATGTGCGACAAACACATCTCCTCATACGATCCAGCAGACATATAAGGCAGAAAATGGATGAAAACGGATCCTTGAAACCAGCCCCACTGGGCTCATTTGGTTTGTCAGTTTAGATTGTGCGGAGGGGACAAAAAAACAGCTGGTGGAGGAACTTGGGAGTGGCAAGCAGCTGCCCCAAAAGAAGAAAGCAGAGGCAGCCAATAGAACGCCTCCACTTCTTAGAGATCGTATCACACTTGCCTTGGAGTCCGGGAGGCCACTTTGGTTCAATCTCGGGAGTTTGAGCAAACTGAGGACGACAGTAATCTTTGATGAGGAGAACAACTTGCTGGAGTTGTGGGGTGCCCTAGAGGTTTGTTGTCGTATTTGCACCGGTTGACCACCTGAGCAGACGCAGGCTTCAGCTCTCTTGAGGAATGGGGAACCGTTGACAACAGAAGAAAAGCTTGTCTCATCACATCTCGAAGTTTTTGTTGCTGACCTGCTTGGTATACTTGAGTCACCAGCACAGGGGTGAATCCATCACTGAAGAGTCTTAATAAATGGGCACCGCTCAAAAGAAGGCACCCGACAAATATGGTCCTTTCGCTGGCCACCAGAGAAGAGTGGTGTGAATCCATCAGCCCATTGTTTTGGCGTGATGGCGATCAGGACACAGACAGAGCTTGTGGTCCTGAAGCAGAGTTGGGATATGCTCATGGAAGCTTTGGGAGGCGAACGAGAGACGTGGATCGCACTTTCTGCGAACAAGTTGGATCGTGTCGATGTACGAAGCACCCAGCGAGTTCCGAGAGACAAGAACACGTTCATATTAGCAAAAAGAGTGTTTTTTCCCAGGTTGACCTGATCATGTAGAACGTATATTTGTCCACCAGGCGATGTACCACAACCCCATGAACTGGTATTTGCGTTACGCAGGCCATGCCGAGGCATGGTGTTCCAGGTCTCTTGAGAGTCCTCATTTCTCTCCAGGTGAACAGCAGGCTCTTATTTTGCTGGTCTCCAGTGACCTGTTTTCTAGGCCTAAATGACCTGGTACAGGGCACCTAGGTGGTGGAGTTCTTCCATGAGGGGGTTGTTATGCCTTGTTGTGCCCAATCTGAGGAGACTGTGGGAGATGCCATCTATGGAATTCTCACAGAACGTTTGACAATCCTGAAGGAGACTTGCAGGTTTGGGGGCTGTTCAGGATGGGATGTCAGCTGAAGGCTAGTTGTTGGTTTTGGTTTTGCGGTTGGGCGATGTTGGGTGGTAGAAATGAGACTGTCCTCGCCTTCCAGAAGCATTTCATGCTTAATGTGCTATCGTTTTTTTTTGCATCCCCTAATTGGCAAATCACGATTCTTTGACAATCACCGGACACTTGAATCAGTGGTTGCAAAAACAACGAGCCAATCGGAGGCAAAAGCTCCAGTGGTCGTACTGTACGAGGCCTCACGAGAAAGAAGGTCTTGAATTGATCCTTTACTCATGACATGTTATCTTGTATCAATTGAAGGTCGACACACACACACTTCGACATTGGTTTTCAGTTAGACTCAATTGCCACGATGGGAAGGAAGGCGATGGAACAGTATGGCGAAAAGTCCAAGAAATTGTAGGTGTTTGAACATCGATTGTTTCCCTTGACTGTGGTGGCGAAGCGGCTCAACTGCACATCTGCGGTGACGAAAAGGGGGTTTAGGGGAGGAAGCATGAACCACCATGGAAACAAAAAAGAAGGATTGGAACAGCTTGTAAAAAGTTCTCGCAGGTACACACGGGTGATCAATCCGTGCTTCCCACTCCAAGGCATAGCTTCGTTGCACTGAGTTTGCCAAGGAGTGCTCAGTGCCCCTGCTTCAGTGGGAAAAGGTGAGAACATGGAAAACCCTTAGAAACAGGGTGTGACACACACACGGTGCCGCTTCGCGGCGCTTGTGTGGGAGGCCTAAATAGACACCTAAAAAGCCTTAGAAACGAAAGGAAAGAAAGACAGAAAGAGCAGCGCTAAGAGGGCAAGAAAGAAAGATAGGTGTAGAAAAAGTGAATACTTAGCCCTTGACTGGGGTAGGGAAACAAGCCTCAAGAGCGACCTAAAAAGCCTGAGAGAAAGCCCAACAAACGAAGAAAAGCGCAAGAAGGAAAGTGGGGGGCAGGGAGGGGGTGTATGTCCATGTGTGTGTCCGTGTGTGTGTATGAATACTTAGCCCTCTAGAATTACTGAATACTTAGCGGAAACGAATTAAATGCAGTAGTTAGGGAGCGGGACTTTAGTCTTAAACCGCCCGGGTAGAGAAGACTAGAACAGGAACAACACAGGGAAAGGTACCGACACACAAGTGTGTCGAGTACCATTTCCCTATGTTGCCTTAATTAGGTAGGGGGTAGAACTCGGCTGGGGGGGGGGGTTGGGAAACCTGCCTGATTGCGGGTGGAACACCGTTTTATAGCCCGGCGGCTCTGGATTCAGTGGTTGAGTGGATTCCATCGTTTATAGCCCGGCGGCTCAAAGTTCCGTTAATTCAGTGATAAAAAAGATTGAACGAAAAGGCAGTTATAAAAATGAAGGGTCGGTGATTTCCGGTATGATTTCAGCGCCTCCTTTCGGAGGGTCACACCCAGTACCCGAGTGGGAAGACTGAGCGGTCCACACTTCGACATTGGTTTTCAGTTAGACTCAATTGCCACGATGGGAAGGAAGGCGATGGAACAGTATGGCGAAAAGTCCAAGAAATTGTAGGTGTTTGAACATCGATTGTTTCCCTTGACTGTGGTGGCGAAGCGGCTCAACTGCACATCTGCGGTGACGAAAAGGGGGTTTAGGGGAGGAAGCATGAACCACCATGGAAACAAAAAAGAAGGATTGGAACAGCTTGTAAAAAGTTCTCGCAGGTACACACGGGTGATCAATCCGTGCTTCCCACTCCAAGGCATAGCTTCGTTGCACTGAGTTTGCCAAGGAGTGCTCAGTGCCCCTGCTTCAGTGGGAAAAGGTGAGAACATGGAAAACCCTTAGAAACAGGGTGTGACACACACACAAGCACGATCTTCGGCTCGGACTTGTGCCATCATGTGCCATCCCTGGTGTCACCTCCCCCCAAATACAAGAAGACGTCCCAAATACCACCTGTCCCTTCGATCTGGCCATGCGAACCCGACCCGAAGAAACCTCGACCCGAAAAACCTCCACGACTCTCCAATCAGGAGAGCTTCAAGGGGCGGCCCAGAGCGATCATCTCCTTGAATCTCTTCAATGGCTTCCGCTTGCTTTGCGAGCCCCGGCCCGGAAGGCCTTTTTTTGGTGGTCGCGGCGGATAGGCCGAGTGACGCGGATTTTGTTTGAATTGTGTGACGCGGATTTTGTGTGTGTGTGTCAATATTGTGAATCCTGCATCTTACATGGTGCTATACGCGAGATGATGAAATGCTTTGGTTGGTTAAGAGATGTCAATGAGCCAGTGAACGTGTAGTTATATACCAAACTAGACAAGTAGAACATCTACCCAGACAATCCACGTATTCACTTTTTTGCATGCATGTATCATGCACATGGGGATTTGAACTTAGTGTTCGATTTCACCAATTCTACGTAGGGATCATCCTGATTGGGTGTCCTAGAAGTCCAACATGGCAGTTTTTGAATTGGTTGGTGACCCAGAACGGATCATGCGAGAAGAAATCATTGCCCATATCAGGGACGGCATCTCACTAATTGTCCTCTTCTCTTCAAAACAAAAGAAGACAAGCCTGGACCAATTGTGTTTTCAGACCCTTCGATTCCTTCGCAAACCACAGTGATGGTTTTCTTCCTCCAAGCCCTCGCCCTTTGTGACCCCAACCTCTCAGGACAAAGCCCGTGACCCGGAGGAGTTGAAGACCCAAGTGGAGACTTTGGGTTTCAAGCAACTTGGAGCCGGAGACTCACTCAGAGACCACGTCACCGTACTGCTCTGGATTGGAGACCCAGATGGTCGGATAGAAAGAGACCTGGACCATACCCCCGTCTAGAGAACGGAGTGAAGAGGCCAAGGCGGCCAAGGCTTTGCAGATGCTGAAAGTATTTGGACCACCTACCTGCCAAACCCAGTCCTGATTCGCGGTTTCCCCGAAAACTCCCGAGGTAGGTGTGGTCTTTTTGGGATTAGGTTTCTGCAGGGGGTTAGTTCTTGGGACCACTACTCTTCCGGCAGTGAACTTAGCGAAGTGAAGATGGGTTCCATGTCGCACCAACAAAATAACATGCCATGTCGCACCAGTCATTTGCTTTGAGGGACCTTTTTCATGCGCCACCGACGCATAATGATTGAACGATATTGATTTGTGACACCGAACTTGGAGGTTTTCCCAGGAACATCCGGCCAATCTGACCCAAGGCACTTGGGGCACGAGATCACTCAGCAGCGAGTGGATGGCGTTTGTGACGCCTTCTTAACGACTGGGCGGATCACCGATCGGTCGGCCGTTACCCCTAGGGATCCAAGTACCTTGTCAGTGTCGAACACATCACCTTCTGAGAAGGTACTTGGGTCCCTAGGGAACATGGCGGAAACAGCTTCACTCCATGCGACGCGTCGGCAAGTGGGTCAAGAAATGGGATTACATGTCGAAGGACGTCGAAGGATGCGATCAAATGGGATGCCCATGGGATGCCCAGGGTATGAACAATACCCTTCAAGTCCAAAGACCCAGTAAATCCATGTAACACCTGGCCTTTTACCCCTTATATAAGTATTGGTCTTGTATGACCATCTCCAGTAAAACGAGGTTTTTGACTTGTATAGGGATAAACTCATTGCCGTAATTATATGCCGTGCATTGTTCGTGAAGAGAAGCCACTTCTAACTGACGAGAGCACTCCCGTCGCCCAACGGTGTTTTTTTGCCCCAAAACCAAAAGAAAGAGTGAGTAACACCAAAGCCAGAAAATCCCACCGGACTGCGATCTTTGCCGAGAAACGATCAGTTGGGGGGTTGACTGGGGGTTCTGGCTTGATCGGCAGTCCGTCCTGGCAGTCCCAGACAGGTCGTGTTTGGGAAATGCACCGTGCCCATCTGCGACCCCCAATGACACGAGGCGCTCATGTCGCAGAACGTGGCAGAGCTGCCTCCTGGAAGCGTGAACGTTTGGCAGAAGGTGCTCAGCTACACAGGCTCATGCTGCAGGCGGACTGGCATGGAGAAAAGCTGCAGATGAAAACACAAAAGCTGGCTGGCTGGGTTTTACATAGTTAGATAATGAATGATAATAACATGTAGAAAGTCTGGACAGGAATTCACCCTGGGCCTCAAGCAGCATTGACCCATGTTCATATCCACCACCACTGGAGAACTCGAATTTTCTTGGTCAGTCCCACCGCCTTCTCGTCTGCCGACGGCGGAAGAAGCACTCGCGGCACGCGGAAGCGAGGTATGTGACAGCGACCTATTCCGAACGTTTGAAGATCATCGAGGCAGGGAAACATGAAGATACTCCGGTCTTTTGGGGCGCCTGGATGATATTCTACGATATTCTACTTAATTCTTATGTTGAACGGTAGGAGGTAAAGAATCAAACAAACCATGAACATCCACGTCCGGTGATTTTTGGTGTCAAGAAGTACCTGGACCCTCCACAGTACCTTAGAACATGGGACATGATCCCTTAAAAACAGGTATATACTTGTACCCATTTTCCGAGGTACTTTGAGACTCCAGGTAGACCTAAAGATGGAAAGATGTCAATCATTTGAAGTATGTGGTTCGATGTCTTTTTTTTTGATGATCTAAAATACTGTACGATTCAAAATATGTCTTGCATTCAAGTATTTTGCAGATTGTACTGGATTTTGTTTGAGAATTGTTTTGAACAGACAGACATTGGTTTGAAAGAGATATAGACAATAGGAAATCTAGATTAATATATGATCAATTAAATGCAAAAGTCCTGCAGTGCAGCCCATTTAGCTATAAAACAGAATTGAACAAGCATGTGCGACAAGATATGTATAATATGTTCAATCTAACCTGTCCTGCCAGGCAAACATGCTGCATCGCGATGATTTGTTTGTAGACCAATGATGGATGTTCCATCGTCAAGCACCCTTTGGTCCTAGATCCAATGCTCCCCAACGTTCTTCTGAACTTCCACATCTACAGTTGTTGTGAGGGGAATCAAAAAATAAAACACGTGGCCCCCGGCCGACCTGCGTTTTGCTGCTCCACTTGGTGTTTCGCTCTCGCAGCCGCGCAGGACGACTGGATTGAGGTCTTGGCTGCTGCGGAGTCCGACCAGCAGGCGCACGCCGGTCACGGCGCCAAGGGAGGCACCACGCCCAAGCCTGGCGCCGGCAGCACGTCGCCCAAGCCCGGCGGTGATGGCGAGGGCAAGGCCAAGGGAGGTGAGGAGGAGGTGGCGGTCACGCGCAGCTTCGGGGCGACGCCGGACCAAATTTAGGGGCACAGAGTGTTAGTTTTGAGTTGGGCGGGTGGGGAGGGAGGGCGGTGAAACGGAGGGTTTTTCAATGGCTACGATTCGAAATCTGAGTCAGCCAGGCCAAGTGCAGTAGATGGCCCAAACATAATATTTCTGGAACTTCAGAGTGGAGCTTGTGTCGTCAGTTATGGAGTTGACAGTGGTGGAGGATTGACGAATGGTTGGTTGATGTTGGTTGATTGTGGGTGGTTGATGAATGTACGTGCGTTTGTGATTTTGTTTTTCATGCACATGCCTTCAGTTGATGGCCTTTGTGGCTTTGTTGAGGCAATCCAATCCCATACCAGTACCAATTTTGAATGACCGCACTTCTGGGAGCATCTTATTACAAGACTTCTGTATTCTTGTGCTTGCGAATTAATATCTCAGAACTGATCAATGCCTTGCATAGCTGATAGGGGCCAAGCCACACAAGAACACACTTCCATTGATTCAAAGTAAATCGGTTGCGAGTCTGTCACCGTTTTTTCGTGGAAAAAAGCACGTCATGAACGACTGAAGATATATAACTCTCTACATTAGCACTGGCCTGTCAGAGCTTTCAGAGCAGACATTACATCGACCTGAGCCCGGTCGGTGGTGTTTTGTTCTCCAAACTCTGGGGTTGTGGCGCAAACTTCTCGCTGAGGATGTGCAGCTTTAGCATGGAGATCATTGGTTTGCAGAGTGAAGGCAAGGGATGAAAAAAACGGGGTCAAGTCAAGCCTTGACACTGGCAGAGATCGACCAGGGTGGACCCCCGAACAACGGACCGGCACAGATTAAACGGTTGTGCTGTGGGCGGGCAGGTTAGATTCCGTCGGTTTGGGTTGTTTAACTTACAGCGGGTTGGAGTTCACGACATAGTCAAAGGCCAGAGGATCAAGTGCTGTACATAGCTTTTCCAGGATGACAGTTTTCCGTGGTGTTCGGGTTGTGTTGGACTTCATGTTTGTGTGCGGTGCCTTTTTTTGGACGAACATCTCCGAAACAGCCTGAATTTGGCGCGGATTATTTCAGGTTCAGAAGACGAGTAGCCGTGCGATCACCATCACAAACCTGGTTTTGATTAAGATGTGTTTTTTGATAACAAAAATATCCTATGGGCAAATCCCCTTCTGGGGAATATATTCCTTTATACTTTTTCCAGGTTCCTGACGCAAATCCAAGCAATGTTTCACTTGGGGCTCCAAAATACCCAGACACTCCATGGGACTGGCAGATTTACATCAGCTGACCCCCAAATCACTCCATAATGTAGGCATACCATTCATGGAGTGTTTGGGATATATCATCCAAACCCGTCGACATCACCTGTTGGGTCTGTCCGAACTTACCTGTAACAGTCAGTACGCAATTATATATTTTAGAGAAATGCCTGCAACCTAACCATCATCCATTGGCCCCTGGATTTTTAGGATAGACCTAAAGAACCGATATAGGTCCTTGGATGTTTGTGGAACCCACAGCAGAAAGTCTTGACTATACCGTACTCGTACCTATTATACGCCATAGATGGCCTTTTATTAGTTGGTTGATTCATAGAGAGGATACCCCCAACTGTACCACCAATAAGTTAAATGGTACCTGGCACCGACCCCTCGATTCTTCCCGTTCGTACAGACATCACTGTATATGATACGCTGTTCGAAGGGTGGCTGCAATAGCCAGGCCATTCACTGCAACCCCTGAGATCGGAGGGTTCTTTTGGAAGAATCTGAGGGTTCAGGTGATGGAAGAATGATGACCCAACTGGAAGGTGATGGAAGCATTTTTTGGGATATGCACTGACGACTGATGTGTGTTTTTGACTGATATGCACACCAAAAACCCTAGGATTGCTTCACCTCCCGGATCAATAACCTTTGTTCTTCAGTTCGTGACCCAGACTGAGATTGGTGCTTCGGTCACTTCAGCCTCTTTTGAGGGTCACTGGCTGGGACCCTCAAGTTCAGTCACTTTGAAAGAGGCTGACACCGATCCAATGTGTGACGCTCCTTTCCAAAGGCCACCTGCAAACCTACCAGAATCGATACCACGCGCGAACATGTGCGCATGTCTTAGCACCAGAGTCGGCAACAAAACACACAGCTGCCTTTTTCGGTGAAGCTCTTCTTCCATCTTGCCAAACAACTGCAGTTCATGTGCGTTCGTCTTCCGTTTTCCACTTGGAGAATCGATCAAATCAACAAAAACGCGCCGTTTGCAACGCTTACCCCCGAGTACTCGGCATCCAAACCCCTCCTGAGCGGCGTCCTTCGGCGTGCGGCGAGCCGCAGCTCGCGACGTCCTTCGCCGCTCGTCCCCCGGCTTCGCACGGCTCGGCTCTCTCCAAACCCATACACGACCAATGGGACTGCCATAGGACTGACGAGAAACGGCCAGGGGTGGTTGACTGGGGGTCTGGCTTGATCGGCAGTCCTGGCAGTCCCATATGGCATGTCCCATGTGTTGTGTCTGGCAAACGAAGATCCAGGCTGGATGGCTGAGCTGTTGGAAGTCTTTGGCGCCCCTCGGCGAGTCGAGGGACTCGAGATACGCTTCGACTTCGAGACGCGGTCGACCTGGGAGCCTGGGTCGACCAGGGTCGACCAGGGTCGACCTGTCCGGTGAGACAGATCTTCTTAGCAATTTGATCATGATGCATATTTAACTTATATTAAAAAAAAAGAAACAACAGAACATGAAAATCTGTGCACATATCAAATGGGAGTTGGATTTTTTCAATTAGTAGATTGATCAGACATCGATCTTCGAGAGCACGGGAAGTCCTTGGTGTTACAGGCGCCTATGAGTGTTCTACGGCTTCGTCCTTTGAACACATGCCAAAACGCCTAGGCACCCGCCCCAGTCTGGTCCTGAAAACTGAGGATAGATGTTGTATGATCAACTCCAGTGTTTCATGAGGTCCAACTGGCCTGTAGGCTCAACCTGACCTGTAGGCTCAACCGAGGTCATTCACTGACCTGTCCAGGATGTCCAACCGCGCTGATGTCCTCCGTCAACATCGTGGGACTTCTAGAAGCCATGCCAATTGGTCCAAACAAGCCATGCGTATCTGTTGACCTCCGCTTGGTATCCTGTGACAGCTTTGGGTAATTGCATGGTCCTTGGTGTCAGACCGCCACTGTCCATGCCGGTGTCACGTTGGACCCGAGGGTGTTCGTGACTCACAAGGCGCTGAAAAGGGCTCACACCTGGCACACTCACCCTACTCACCCCCCATGAAGGAGAACATCGACCCTGACCCTAGCAGTTCGGAGGAAGTCGCTACTCGGAAGTAGGAAGAACGAACTGGTTTTTAAAGGTCGGGGGCTGCCCCTGTCACATCCACAGCCCCCCCCACACCAAAACACTCCGACATGGAACTGCTGCAGAGGTCTCACCCAAACCAAGCTTCTTCTTTCGGAGAGCGACGAAAGAGGACGCCAACTCCACGCACGCAAGCCAAAACTGGACGACCCGGGCTCCAGTCGTGCCTCGGGTTCGGTATGACTGAACCCTCCTGGCACCAACTCCAGTCCCACCTCCTCAGATACGACTGGAACCCTACATCCTGAGACCCTTTTCCCACCCAAATGACTCCACTCCCTAGGGCTCCAGTCGTACCTCCTCAGGTTCGGTATGACTGGACCCTCCTGGCACCCACCCCCCCCCCGTCCCACCTTCTCAGAAGGTATGACTGGAGCCCTAGGGACTGGACGAAGCGCGAAGTCGATCGAAAAAACCGATCCGCGGCCTGAGAACCTGGTGGAGAGGATCGGAAATCCCTCGCATCTCATGGAGGCTCGAGACTGGGATCAGTTGGAGGTTGGTTGGAGATCGCATCCTTGGGCGAATGGCACAGTTGTTTGGCACCCCACGATGTTGGACTGCCTGGAGGGTCCTGACCCTGTTTATTCAATGATTGCTTTTGCCATCGAGAAAAGGGGCCCGTTGCATTTTTTTTGGGTGGGGAGGTCTTGTTTTGGACCAAACCACACAAACTAGGCCAATCTTGTCGTTTCATATATATATATATATATTGTAATATATTATATATATATATATATTTGAGATAGGTCCGACTGCGAACCCGAGAGCGTCCGCAACATAATTGCAACTCTCCTCTTTTTCCAACTACACGTCCTTCGGCTCTTCGAAAGCAGCTGAACCTGGTCGAGAGGTGTCTCGAAGCTGACCTGATAGTACCGGGACGATCTGGGATACCGGGACCAACTGGGATAGTCACTATATACCATGGGGCCCCACAAACCATCCAAAACCTGGTTTTCTCTGACGTCAGGGGGTCAATGGATGTAAATATGCCAGTCCCATGAAATTCGTCGTGTTTGGGATATGCGGGTTGGACGAAACAGAAGTCGCGTTGAGAACTTCAACACGCCAAGTTGGTGTCGAATTATGATTGTCTCAACCTAGCAGCCTCAGACATACACCCATCTTTTTTCCTCCGAAACCAGACGAACCACGCGTCTTCAGGACATACACCCATCACCCGTCATCGTCCTCACCGGAATCCACCAAAAATCACGTTCAGTCGAAAGGAGTGTGAGCTGCTGGCCATTAGCATGATCCTGAAGTCCAAGTCGAAGAAGGCCGGCATATGACCTGGGCCGGCATGATCCGCCGAAACCACGTTCCACTCTGTCAACCCGTGGGGGGGGGGCACTGCCAAACCATTCAACTCTGTTTCGGAGCACGTGGGGAGGAATCCACCGGCTGGTGATCGGCCAATTAAGAGACTCAGAGACGCAGCCTAGCCGCCCAGCCTTCCCAGAAGAATGAGTAAACAGTAAAGCCGTAACATCAGGTTGTTTTTGTTGTGAACACTGTAATCACGAAAGGTAGCTTGAGCTACCTGAGTTCTCCTTGCTTTAGCAAAAATGTATTACAATCAGGAGTTGGGATTGTGCATTGAGTTTGGTCCTGTAAGAGTTGATTCTGTTCGTGGGGGGGGGGGCCCCCCCTGGATCAAATCCCCCCTGCGCCGGTTCACGCCGGACTTCTACCAGGGTTACTTGTGATTGCCTGCTACCTTTCGTTCACCCCCTCCTCTCTCAAGTCAATGGTGGTTGGAAGGCTGAAATTGAGGAAGATCGAACCAGATTTGTATGTTCTTGAGGTCCATGACACGTCCAAACGACCTGAGATGCAGCCTTTTCGATGGGCCAGGCTACTAGCGCCAGCCAAACGCTGGTCTTTGGAATGCACCAAAATGGGAAGAGGAAGTATGAAGCTCTACCAGCACTCCCCGAGTCAGGACCAGTATGAAGTCTCCCCACTGGACTTGTAGGGTTTGGAATCATTTTGATTGACTTCCATCCATGGTCAACCATCAACCACTCGTTCACGGAATTGGGCGAACCAAAGTTTCGTTGCCTTGCTCACCATAATGACATAATGACCAAAGACTGTACCTGCTAGACCGGGGTCTCTTTCGAGCCTCTTGGAGAGCCGGTCTCCAGAAATTGGGCGCCTCGGGCAGGAGATTGACTTTGACATCTTCAAGCCCGTGATGCTCACGGCGCTCCGCTCCTTGCCCCTCGGACCACCGTGATGCTCGCGGACGCCCCGCGGACCGAGCTCGCGGCGTGCCCGACGGAACAAACATCGGTCCTCGACCGGACCGCGGCCTCATCCAAAAGGCAGTGCTCAAAGGTCTGGAGATAACACATGCGTTATGTTTAATGTGTCAACTATATATAGTTCATTTATGCGTATTATATGCGACTTCTTTGCATCTTGATCAGAACCTCAATTTGGGATCGAGTTCCTCTTACCTAAGGGACACAGCGGGCGGAACTCCCGAACACTGTTCTTTGTTTTTAAATGAGCAAACGATCAAAACATGCGAATACATTGGGTGTGTCCTATTACCTGTAACTGTCACAGTCACTAGACAATGATCATCATTTGTGAACAAGGCCTGGTACCTAACCATCATCCACTGTTACGGCATGACCCTAAACCTATATGTTGAGGGCTTTGTTTCTGTGGAAAACGATATGGTCCCCACCAAAAACGATAATTGTGTCAAGATGTAGTGACTGGGTACAAAGATGTTTGTGGTTACCAGATGTTATTGCATGTGCATGTTTATTTGAGCATATTTGAGCTAAACCGATGGGCACAACTGTTCATCAATGATAACCCCAGACAACTTCCCAAACTATAATCCAAACGATAAGCGAACGATAACCTAAATGTCACGCCCGGCACTCCGTAGACCTACTTCTCCACGTTACTAGTGTTGGTCCGAGCTACTAGGTCCCCGCTTATTTGCTGTGATCCTTGCACAGCCCGGTGCCACAAGAACCAAGTGCATAAATCAAGTGCTGCGCCATTCCTGTGCTGAAAACACTGTAAGCCTCTAATCTGAGGTTGTGAGTTATATTTTGTGTTTTAGCCTATGTGCTGGTATGCTATGCTAACTACGGTTTGGAGAAACATTGGAGAACGATATGGACCCCACCAAAAACGATAATCATGTTAAATGGTATTGTGCTACACAAGTAATTTTGTCCGCTGCTCATATGATGGCCATCTTTACCAAACAGGGTACGCAAAACAGCCTCGACGATGTCCGTTTTGGTGCCGTTTCGCACCAAAACGGCCTGAGGCTCCCGACCAGTTGGAGCTCCTCCCACGAGACTGCCTGGGAGTGGCTGTGGTCCACGATCAGTCGAAACCTGCGAGAGGGCACCCAAAAGGCGATCAGTGGCGAGAAGAAACGCGGGGGACTGGGGTAACTATACAGCTCTATTGGGATGTTTTGAGGCTTTTAGATGGGTTCCGGTGCAAAACGAACAATTGTGCTTAATAAGTACTAACAGATCGCACATGGTGATGTGTTGGGGTTTGCTGGCTGTTGGCGGGACCAGCGCCCATTCAACTTTCTCCAAAAGTGAGGGACCCTACTACCGTGCCTGATTTTTCAGCACCTCACAAGACGCTTCCCACGGGATGCACCGTGGGTCCGAAGCGAATGACCCTCCGATTCTCCGATCGTCGAAATGGTGCGAACGGCCGCATGCGCGTTGGTGAGCTCCACCCAGGCTCCAGGTCATTCTGACCACATATCTCGCAGATTGGGGGAGAATCAAGTGACGCGAGTTCACCACGTCCTGTCGCAGGTGCGGGTCTTCAAGCCCTACAATTCTCAACTCTTCTCGGCACTCAAGGACCAGCACCCCGGTGAGAACGAGGAATGAAAAGAGACAGAGGGAGATGGCGGGAACTGTTTTCTTTCGTTGTGTGAACTTGGTGAAAGCAGAACTTATGACTTTGACTTGATTGGATTCCTTTCGTATGTGTGAATTCTCTTTGAGGCGGTACTTCTGATTCTACAAAACTTGGGGCACTCACATTCAGAAAATATGAAATGAAGGTCCAGATCTGGAGGGAACATCATGGAACAAATATTTGCACGTTGGTGGGGCCGAGCAAGATTGGAGCAGGAGGAATCAAGGTAGAGCTTGAGAGACTGGTTAGCTGCCCTGAGAGTATGGAAGATGAGCTATGCGTTGTCAAAATCATACTGAACCTGGAGGCGCATCAATTTACATATGTTTTGCTGTACACGTGACTACTATAAGTTGTCATGTTCTCAGCATTTTTTCAGCGAAGAATCCTTGAGAAAAGATAAAGATTATGATCGTCTTTTGCCTTTCGGGTGACGTGTTTTCGACTCCTGCCTGTGTGAATTCAGATTAGTGTCCAACCGATTTGATCTTTTCGCCACCTGCGAGAAAAAAAGGCAGATGGCCTACTTCCGGGAGAATCTCTATGCGGACTTCTTCACCAAGTGCGCTATGAGCCAGGAGATTTTCAAGCAGCCAGGGATCCCAGGGATGGAGACGCACAGGTTCCGAGAGACGTACGGGTTTCTGGGAGAAGACCCTGAGAAAACCCGACGAGCCTTCCTTCGGAATCCATTCGGGTCGCCATGATCGCCTTTCAGGCCGGACTTCATCGGTTTGGAAAACACAGCTGTGCTGTGCTGGAGAGGTTCCACCTGCGTTTGACCTTGTACCGACCCACCTTTCGTACCCTTTTCAATCCGCCCCTCCCACCCTGAGAAACATCAGAAACCACTGGCCCCTTTTTCACCGGAACTCAGGTCGCAGACCAGGCTTCACTACATCGCCGATGGAGTTCTGCGCTCCTCCTATGACATCCTGCACAAACCCAAACAAGCCGCCAGCCGAGATCAACCCCCGCACCCTCCCGCGCCCTCTCCGGTGCTTGTGAAGTGGACGGTCTTGAAGTGACCGCGCGCATCGCGCGGGACCTGACTGGCTGGTCAGGCCTGGAGCGGTCTTTTCCCAGGGAGGGTGTGCTTGAGTGGGGGGTTCCACCAGACCCGAGTTGGGTGAGAGTGTGGCTGGGGAGACATGGCACCATGGCACCATGGCACCACACCGCACCCTTGACCTCTGACAGTGAGCAGATCCCCTCCAGGGCCATCCAAGAGGTCTTTCCTGGTGACAAGAGGTGCAGAAAAGCCTCCAAAAAGCCACCTGTTGGAGGGATGTCAACCGCAACCGGTTCGGTAGGTCTGGGGTGACTCATGTGATGTCACGGTGATGTCACGGTGATGTCAGAGCAATGCTGGACTAAACGACCAGGTCGAATCTCCAGAAGGTCAGTTGTGTCAATTCACATGAGTTCAATGGGCCCCATTGGGCATCACCTGAAACATGTACCAATTAGGCTTATATATATAGCTATCTTAAAGTTGCGCGTAGTTCTGCATGGTTTTTTTAAGACTCACCATTTACCTCATTCATAAGTAGTTTGCCACGCCTTTTAAGAAAGTACATTCTACCTGGATCATCCGTCACCAAAAGATCACCCAATTTTCCATGATCCTGGTATGTAAAGAACTCGTTCAAGGGCCATCCAAGAAATCTCCAATGGACCTACTAACTACATAAATCTTCAGCCACAGACCTCGATCCTGTAGGTCCTGATTTCACTGGCTGCCACGAATTCTCTTCGATGCCCCTCTTTGAGGTCATGGTCGATGAGCTCTCTGCTCTGGGTTTGCGACATGTAGGCAGCCGTTCTCCGGTGTTCTCCGCTCCGAAAGTTGCGCAGTGAGACAGAGTAACACCTGTGCTTGCGCCTTCTCGAGAACTCTCGAAGTGCTTGTTTTTTGTTGTGACTCTAAAGGCACTCTGCTATATACAGGCAAAAGACAATTTCGTCACTCTAGAGGCTACCCTGCCTTGGGGGGCAGGCTCCGCAGAAAGAGCTAACTTTGATGGTTGGAAAGGGGTCTACTTTTAGGTTGTATGCTGGGTCCCTCATCGGAAGGTGTTTTCACGCGGTACTGGCAACCCAATATGATGTGATATATACGGGTTGATGTCAGGTCTGTGTCGTCTTAGTCAGCACCACATGCAAAACACCGAACGGAAGAAGCACCAAGACACCACAGCCTTTGCAAAAAAGGTGAGAGTAGGTCGGGCGCACAGGCCTGCTGAAACAATGAGCCTTCTATTCTGTGGTGGGTCCTGCAAGCAGTTCACAAGGGATTTTCCACATACAGGAAAGACAAGTACAGGAAGCAACAGGGTCATTTCCAGGCTTGCCAGTGCAGTTTGTAATGGAACAATTGGGAGAGCTAGTGGGGTTCTTCCTTCCAGTATAGGAAGAGGTACCTCGTTGCAGGGTGTTGCTGCCAGAAGTCTGTGGGCTTGGCATGGTTTTTGTATGTGTTTTCTTTTTGTCTTGGCAGAATTCTACAGCGCTCCAGTGGGATTGACATGCGGCAAGAGGATGTAAATCAATCAAGCCCACACTCTTTTTAGAACTAGCGTTCCAGAATGTTCCAGGTTTTTTTGCACTCTTTGGGTCTACTTTTTTGGTGAGAATTCTTGTTTGGGTATCATCTTTCCATTGGGATTAGCTCCTGGGGGATGACCACAATTCTTTAAACACGTTTTGGACTTCCAGAGTGTATATATATATATAAGGCTTTATCCACAAGAGGCTAGTGACAGAAATCTTCCAAATCAAACCTCTATCCTGAAGTTTTCACCACCCAACCACCAGCAAAAACAACTACAGTAATCACGCCACAAAACTACTCACTACCCACGGAGCAAACCACCATGAGAACGCCTTACATCTCTTCCTGATATGTACTGTCCATCCCAAAAGACCACCCAGTTGCTTTGGCTCCGCAAGCGGAGGCTATGGGATCCCCATTGAGCTCTTTGCTCCCTTCACCGACTCCTGCGTCCTGGTCATCAAGCAACTCGTTGCCGAGATGCCCAAATCCGATCCTCGGCCAAGGGAGAGATATTCGCTGTATTCGTTTCAAAAACTATACCCAAACACTCTATATGTATGGCATATTGACCTACATTCACCCCTCAAACCACCTCAAGATGGTTCACCATAAAATTCTTATAAGCCACACTGTCACGAGACATTCCTCCAAGCTGTCACCTTTGCCGCCTCCACTGCGCGTGTCTTTCGATGCCGGAGTCCGCCGGAGTCCACGCGGCAAGGAGTCGATGAAGATTGTCGCATGCCCCGCCGTTGGTCTGCATCAGGCAGAAGTGGCCTGGCACGAGAACCAGTCTGGAGGGGTGAAAGTCTGGAAGAGAAAAACCTACAGCTCCAGTCTGATTTAGTAGAAGATGGTCCTGAAAGCCTCATTCGAGGAGTGTGAACTTGTAATATTATGGGCAACTCCTTTCATAAGGTTTAACTGACCTGCAGGGAAATCTATTGGCAGGACAGTCCACTTCTGAAGCCTTTGTTGGTATGGTTTCTCGATTTTTTTGGCGGCGATGGAGGCAACCTCGGCGTAAGTGATATGAATGTTTGAGCATCTTGGGTTCAGAGTGAACGACACAATGCGGGCTTTGCCTGATTTCTCCCCTGAGTTTAATGTTTAAACCAAACCCTTTCTCTATGCCAGCCAAAGGTGTAGAATCAGGCAAGGCCATGCATGGCTTACATTTTTCGACTTGCATATATGTTCAGGGATTCATACTGCAGCTGGTTTTGGCGTATAATATTCAGAGGTCGTTAAAAAAAAAAAAAAAACATGTCACATTATCGATCTATTACAATTTTGTAGAATGCTTGATCCTATATATACTCTGTCTTCAACCTATCTCTCGCAGACATCTCGCAGAAACTCCGCCAGGACCGAGCCCCTAACCTCTCGCGTCAGTTGAGCCGATACCCCACCGGTTCGCCGCTTTACCTTCCAACATCGTTCGGGACGTCCTGAGGAGCGTGACGTCCCAGAATATATGATGGTCGAGGGCTTCCGCTGGTCCATCGGCGCCTCGACTTGTAGAACTGCTCCCCGACGATCCGACGTCGTGCTGGTTGGACGTTTGATGGTTGGTGTTGTGTTTGTTGTGAGGGAGGGAGGGGTGAGTGGGGAGACAGGCACGCAGGCCTGCCTGTTTCCGAGAACCAGTCTGTTCCCGCGCTAGGTTGGAGTCACATGATGGACGCGTAATTATATCACTCCATGGCCCACCGGTCACGGGTGACGAGACCGTTTTACACACCGGCCTGAGCGACGCTGAAGCTCGTTTTCCATGCAGCTCGAGGCCCAAACACTGCATGTATGGCATGCCTACATTCACCTCGAAAACCACCCCAATTCTAGGCAAATATGGCAGTCCCATAGCATGGAGTGTCTGTGATATACAGCATACATATCAGGATATCCACCGATTCCGGAGCGATTGCCATCCGATTTGAGACAGCTTTAAGCCGATTCTTCCGAGAAATCAGTGAAGTCAAGGAGTGGTGTCCAAGACCCCTGGGTGCACATAACAAAAAGATCAAACTGGGAACGCGGCGTACATGTCAAACCGAAACTTGTTCAACTGGCTGGTTCCAAGTTCAACTAATTCACCACTTCAATCCACCTTTTTCACCCCGCTTCACCTTCGCCTTCGGCCGTTGCCGCGTCGAAGTGCGCGTCCAAGAGCGTCTCGTCTCTCGTTTTCGGCAGCAAATACTCTTCCCCACGATGGGACTGCCGCCCACCGACAGACCCTTGTTTCGACCACCTCAGACACCCCGAACCGACGTGATCGGATGAAACGAGGCCGTGATCGGTACCGTCGTCGACGCCGAAAGCCTGGCCAGGCCTCGTGGCACGTTTGCTGATGCGGATCATCACCGAAGGGTCCACTGCTGTGATGCCGTTCGGTGCAACAGGCTATGAGGCCAAATCGCTTCGCCCGGGCGGGCGGGCTGTTTAACGGGTGGGGTGGCGACCATTCGCGTTGGGAAAACCAGGTTCCGGCGGTGGACAGCGGGTGCAGGCTGTCGTTGGCTGGGTTTTTCGGTCTTAGAGTTGAAATGGCTGGGCCGAAAGGTCTAGAGGGTCACCACCCCTGCCGAGGGTCGGATTCTGCTTTGGGTCAAACGAAAAGGCTCCCCTTTGGTCGTTCGCATCCAGGTGTTTGGCATGTTTTTGTTTGTCCAGCGGGACCGGTGTGATGCAGGAGTTTGGGGGTTGTTTATCAAAGACCTTGGTCAATACCTCGAGTTTGGGTTGTTGGCGAGTTCATGCATTGGACAAGGACAGAGTTCAAGCCGACGTTGAACAGGATGGGATTCAACGGCTTCTCTGGGTCGATTCTCTCATAGGGTTTGTGATGGTCATATGATGTGACGACCTTCATTGAACTTCGTGTTCATCATTTCATCCCCCAACTGCCGCAACTGCAGAACACGTGCGGTGCCAAGGCAGGCGATTTGTTTGGATAATTCTGATCTCTTGCAGCAGGCATTGAGGGAAGCTCCCCGGGCTCCTTGGAGGAACGGGTTTGTGGGTGTTGGAAATGTGGGTGAACCATAAGTTCACGATGACTGTGATGAACTGAGAGACCGTGTTCTGCATGTTTTTTGCTTGAGGTCACTTGAGGTCCACTTGTAGAATGCCTCTTTGCTGTTCAGATGAAGTTGGTCCAATACCTGAAATCGAACACACGGAGTGGGCGCAAACTTGGTTCAGAATAGAACCCAGACATGCATGGGACTGACAGATTTGCCTACATTGGGGTGGTCGAAAACAGGCCAGTGATGGGTCAATATGGCATACGTACGCACGTACTACATACTAGGCGCTTCGAAAGTACCACAAAAATTGGAACAAGTAGACAAAATGACAGTTATTTTTCCAGTTTGTTCCCTTTTTGGGGCGTAAGTAACTGTTTTGGGAATTTGGAGTGTGTGGGTTGTCCCTCCATACTTCGATTTGCATCATGTCATGAGTATACTCATGTAGCCGCTTGGGGCTCATAATGCTTGGAAGACTGGTGAAGATGCCTGGCCCGATGCACACTTGCAACAGTGCATGTTCTACTTGAGACGTAGCAAGCTAATTCAGTTGCCAGAAACAATTACAGACTCGAGCTCAATTACGTGATCCGGACACAATTAATAAGTGCGGAGTTGCAACTTTGATCACAGTTCGCGGGAACAAATGTAGAAGGGTTTCCTGGAACTGTAGCTGAAATCCCCATTGACTGCAACATGTCTTTCGCCGTCCGGCAATTTTCACTATGACTGGTTTGTTCCTTTTGTTTAGGAAATGTTACCTTCTTCCATTTTTGTTACCTTTGTTCATCTAAAAACCGTTGGTCCTTCTTTTTTGCGACATGGAGGTTTCAAACGTTCAAAAACAAATTGTGCATTCAAACATTCCTGCGCACTACATGTTTTTCAGAACAAAACACGCGCAAGCCTTGAAGTGCACATGTTCTACCCATTTGCTGAATTGAATGGCATGTTCCCACTTCCAAAGCCTGTCATACGGTGGCAAATGGGAACATGCAGCTATTTCAGAAATAGAGATACCTTCGTGGGTCGATGTGTCAATCCCAGAGGAATGGTGCACGCTGCTCCATCCAGAGATTCAGAGCTTGTCAAGCCGGCAGGGCTTCATGTTGTGGAAGGAAATTGGGGTGACAATTTGGTCCTACTCGGAAATACCTGTCCAATACACGCCTTGACCCTTTCTATACACGTCTTTCCCGCCCACAGTTACGAAGCTTATCAGATTATGAATTAGCAGGATATGTCGGAGAGTGAGTTCAAGACCTGTAACTGTAAGCCACAGAGCGCTAGACCGGATCCGTTTCAGAATGAAATGGGATCTCCGGAAGTTGAGCTGGAAGGCCCGGTCAAGTGACACACAGGGCCTCCTAGTGTGTTCAAAAGAAGACCATGCTCACAGAGTCGCACGGCTTTGTTCAAGTGCGCAGGTTGTGTCCAACAAAGATCCAGGTGCACATACATTATAATGATAAACATTTTAACCACATATGTTGACGGCATACCTACATGTTCGTTTGTGTATCTAGCTACTTCAAATCAAACATAGTTCATGGGGCAAGCAGCGGAAACTTCCGTAGTGCAGCACTTCTTGGATTTGGCAAAGAATGGGGGAAATGACCAACAGCAACACTTCACACAAGAGAAACACAAGAAACAAAACGGTGCAACTTTTTTGTTGCAGTACTGAAGTTCCAAAATCGCAGGCGAACCCATGAAGCGGCAGTTTTTCCAGAAAACGAACAAAGCAACATCAAACGACAGAAATTAGCTGAACTGCACTAAGCAACAACAATTTCTACATGCCTGGGTGTCTTATAGGTATATCGGTATATCATAGTTATACACATGGAATGCTTGGGGATAGCACTAATAACAGTTTGACCTCCAAGGTTGGAAACCTCAAACAAAATGCACAAAAAACTGTCGTCCATGATGGCAGCGGTAGGTGCTAAAACATTGAAAAACATAGAATATGTGATGGACCAAAAGCCTTCGCAAGGACCGCTACGATGCGAACTCCCCAGCTTTGCGAACGATGCGAACTCTGCATGGTGTTCGGTTCTGACCCGAAAACGTTCCGAAAAGGCTTCGCATGTACAGCTGCGGCCCGTCGCCCAGGCTCGGCGCTCAAAGTTACAGCTGCGGGTTCGCGTGGGGAGCCAGACGATTTCTCCCTTGTACTGGGCCCTCAGGAGCGGTGCGGTCTACCGATTTTCCAAGCAGATAGAGGATGATAGAGGGACGATTTTCCCGATCGGCTCGTGTTTTCAAGATCGAATTTGCAGCGGAAAACTACAAAAACAATCAAAAACGATCAGACCAGCATGTAGACTTGTAAAAACCCGCAGAGTAAAAAAACTAATTGATTACGTGACGTGGATTCCCTTACACTTGGCTCAAGCTGAAGTTGGGGGTTTCAAAGCCGATGGTCAAGCAGATCGAAGCATTTGCATTACTCTCAAAACAGGGACTAGTCGTTGGAAAGCAAATCGAGTCAACCTAAGTCGTTGGTTTTGACTTCGAACTCGGAGATCATGACCGCTTGCTTCGAATTCGTTTGTGCTAGGAGTGGTCGACATACCTCAGCAAAGACGATGCTGGAAGATATTCTCACCATTCGCGCGGACACTTGGGAAGACTCGTTGGTCGTCGGAGACAGGTCATAACAAGTGCGATTCATTCACCCTGTGCCTCCAAACACCTTCTCAGAAGGTATTTGGAGGCCCAGGGTCAGAGATTGATTTGGGTTTTGTCTCGAAGTGGCCGTCATGTTTGCTCCACGAGATCGTGTCATTGCCCTAGCTTGAACGTTCCATGATCAGTATCGTTACTGCCGGTGTCCGCATGTGACCAAACAGGAAACAGGATTTCGGACAGTTCCTGCTCCTCTTGTTCCGTCCAGTTGGAGGAGACTCAGACACTTCTATCCTCAGACACTACTTGAGTTGGTCATGGAAAAACACCACTCAGGCAGTTTGCTTTTTGAAGTTCCACCCGGTGAGGCTGCACCTGTCGAGCAGAGACCTTGACAGATATCATGAGTCTTCACCCGGCTCAAGCAGTGGGATCGGATTTAAAGGTTGTGAGGGGAAGGTTATGGTTGAGGTAGCTGGAAAGGTTTAACCAATTGTTTGGATATTGTTTGGCTTTGTTTGGTTGTATTTATGCTTGAGAATTTGAAGGAGGTTGCATACACTTGTAATGTGGATTATTGTTTGGAGGGTGGTCGATGTTGGCAAAGAAAAACAAGAACACCTCATGCATTTTTCCTCACTCACTAGGCCACTAGGCTGGTTCTTCAGAAACGACTCTAGGGGATTCTGGGGGAACAATATGGAGACTAAAATGATCCAAAATGGGATTAAACACCCCCACCACCATTTTCTCAGGAGGTGGTTGGAGGTGTAGGGCACAAACTTCATCTATGTTTCCCAGGAAGTGCTTTAATCATTGGGTTGGATTGATGGAACGACTCCGGAGTCGAGCATTTGGAGGAAACACCATGCGCGCACAGAGTCGAGTCTTGGTCCGGTATCCGGATTGATCAATTGGATCATGGCAGATGCCTGACTACGCAGAATCGGAAAGCAAGAGCCTATAGATAGCCTATTTTAGATAGTCCTGTATATATATATATATAGCTGTTGCTCAGGTTTATATATATATATATAGGGAAACTGCATGACTATGAATGACTGGTTTCGGCCCACAATGACAGGTTTCTCTCTTCTATACTATTGGCAGACATCAGAAATAGCTGATTCCACCACGCAAAAAAAAAGGTGCAAAAACACCGAACACCGGGTTACATCACTCCTTTTTCCGGGCGATGTAACCCGGAAACCACCGGAGCTTTGGGGGTGTTCACGGTCGACGTCACCACACACGGAACCCACACAAAGAAACCCCATGGGGTCCGTGCACGATATCCCAGGATCGAGACAAATACTACTATGGCAACAATGACATCTTCAGGTGCGCCGGACAACACCCCTGAGACCTCGAGGACGCCTTGAAAACTCGCCCGCTTTGCGATTCCCCAGCAAAATCGCGGAAGCGCGGAGGCGGGTCGACCCGTCCGGCATTCCAAGGACATCAAAAGACAGTTTCCGTAAGCCATCGTAAGCCTAACAAGAAGTTGTACCGGTATCATCCGCCGAAAAGCTCACGAGCAACTGGAGGTACCAGCCGAACATTGCTGCGGACTTGTTGCAAGAAGCTCCCAAGTTGGTGCAGACCTTGCTGGATGGGTTGATTTGGCGCTCACACAAGACACAGGCACCGTGCTCTCGAGCGCGCGGCGGTGACGGTGACGGCGATTTCTAGCCGAAGGGGCAATGGCGGGCTCAAGGGTGGAAAGGAGACTAGCTGAAGGAAGCGATATCGCTAGGCTACTAGCAGCTCCTGGCATTACTGCTAGTAACAAGAAGCTACTAATTATTAGCAAAGGGCATTACTGTTTACTGCTCGTAGCAAGAATGAACACGTTCGTAGCATCAGACGACCGTTTTTGGCTGCAGGTTTTGATGGCAGTGTGATGGCTTCGTCGGCGTGTGATGAGTCGCCTTTTCAAAGGAACAACCAGGTTGTCCAGTCTTTTGCTTGCCCACTTACGCGGTGCGTCGTGTTTCTGGCCGCTGGAACGCTCGGAAGAACGCTGCTTGTGCTGCACCGCTCCAAAGAATGCTCCGATCATCTCCGATCCGATGCAGTTTTCAACTACTGCGATGTATATATATATATATATTAATTAATATATATATATATATACCCTACACCTCCAGTCGTACCTCCTCAGGTTCGGTATGACAGAACCCTCCAAACCCATCCACCCCAGTCCCACCTTCTCAGCAGGTGGGACTGGAGGCCCAGGGATAATGCCTGCAGCGATCCAGTTTCTATTAGATATAAATAGCAAGTCCGAGCCCGGGTCGTGCTTCATCAAGTCCGCAACTCGTGGCAGGATGGACTGCGGCCGGTGATTTACTACATGGAGCATCTATTGCAAGACATGGATGAGAATCAGATGCTCTCCCGAGCCTTGTTGAGCTTCATGCACTTCAAGGAGCCTTCTCAAGCTGTCAGGGCCTCTTTTTCGTTTCAACGATCATGTCAACCCTTAACCGGGCTCCGGTCGGAGCTTGTGAGGTTCGGTGGGACTGGGGTTGGGTTGAGGGTATGACGTCATACCATCTGAAGAGGCACGACTGGAGCCCTGGGGTAAGTATCAATAACTTGGTCCCTTTCGGCACCGATGCTGGCCTTTTCAGAAGGTCTCGAGTCGAAGAGATCAGGCGTCTCTCAGCTCATGATGCTGATGTTCAACAGTGCTTCATGATGCTTCATGGCAAATTTAAGGTGCCTTCATCGTATTTTCACATGACAATGTGGGAAAACCAAAGCCACGGAAGAGGGTTGATATTATAGTAATTAGTAGTGTCATTCGCGTTTGGGTGTCCACGTTCTAAGAGAGAATACCCTGGATGGGTGTCCACTTCAACATGGGCAGTGGACTTGGATCTTTTCTGAAGTCATCCACACCCAATCACTTGACGATCCTCGAAGTCACCCAGACACTCCATTTATGGAATTCCATTCCCTAAGGCTCCGGTGGTACCCCCTTGAGGTTCCCTTAATTCGGTACCCGAACCTGAGGTTTAGAGGCTTCAGTCATACCGAACCTGAGGAAATTTACGACAGGAGTCCCATGGGAGCCACAGCTCAAATCAGCTGCTCCGATCGGAGTTCCTAGCCGTCAGTCTTCGTCGGCCCCGTTGTCTGCGCGGAAAGAGTTATTCCGCGCCTCGCCGCGCTGCGCGCCTGGAGGATCCAAAGGTCATTGTCCACCCCATCCTGATGTTTGTGCTGGATTTGCTCTGGGAGAAACTGGCGCCTGGCTGGACTGGTCTGAGATGAGGTTGAGATGTTCGGGATTCCGGTGGAAGTCGGACCGAATTCTGGAAGATCAGGTGGAACCCAATATGTTGGTTCCCTTGGAAGATGTATAGATCTACATTCTTTTCTATGGTGGGACCTATAGTGACCTAATGATGTACGCTTTGTTGTACTTTGGACATTTTGCCACGTGGTACTTTGAAGGTGTTTGTTCGATCAGCACGTGGTTTCGATGAACGGTGACCCCCCAAAGGACGCGCTCCCCAACACCCGGGGACCGGTTGAAGCGAGATCGCCGGATGGAGCCGACCAAAGAACCTGGGATTGCCCGGGTGGGTGCCAAATACTTGGCCAAATTTGATTTGCAACACGTTGCAACAAAAGCCTGTAGCATTCAACCAGATTTCACCGATTTCGCTGGGCGCAGGCTGACCCCATTTGCTTCACACCTTTTCATTCCAGACCACCGGGCGCCCGCAAGCACCGAAACGGCCGTTTCGTCGCCCGGTTTCACGCTGCGCCACTCCGTCGTCGCCCATCGGAGTCCCTTCCGCCGGTGCCGTCAGATCCTGCGATTCTTTGTGTCGGACCAAATCTTCCGAGCGGTGAACTTCATCATCTACCTCTTTGCCGCCTGTACCTGGGCTGCCGCGTTCCGCGGTCCGCGGTCCGCGGCTATGAGGGTCCATCCGATCTCTCAAGGTGCAGCACAGCCCGGTGCACGGATGCAAACGACCCTATGATCAAGGGCCCGTGCCGAAAATCAGTGGTTTGACCGTTTTGGGGGATTCAAGGCAGCATGCCGATCGTGGTTTGCGCGGCTGCGGTGCTTTCTTTGGATTTCTCAGGGGGGTTCAAGCCAATTTCACCTATAGAATCCTCGGCGGGACCTGTGAGGCCACGGACGTCTGAGGTTTCTTTAATACCGATGAAGCAATTGCAGATCCGGTGTCACCTGGCGGGAGGAGGTTGGTCGGGACCGAACTCGGCCCACTGGGCAAGACGAGGGGCCGAACTCGGCCCCCTTTGGGTTTGACGATTTGAGAAGCAAAAAAGAGAGGCCTCCCTGATGTGGGTCATGACGGGGTGTTGATCCAACGGTTGAAACATGGAAAGAAGGACATGTTGTCTGAAGCTACAACTGGTGAAGGCGCTGGGGCACCTAAATTGAACGATCATGGCACTGAAGCGGTGTTCTTTTAAAAATCTGATCATGCAGGAATGAGATCATGGACTTGGAGGCATTGGCAAGATGTCTCACCATGGTTGTTGTGGTTGTGGTTGTGGTTGTGGTAGTTGTTGTTGTGGTTCTTGTGGTTGTGGTTGTTTTGGTTCATGTTGATGTTGTTGACGATGAAGACTTGACATATACCAAAAGCAGCCATGTAGTTGTTGAATATCACATCTTCACCTATTCACGATCTAGATATTCTTGGTCAGAATGTGCCGACCTTGTAAACAACTCCCACAAACCGCCAAGGACCTGGACCTGAAAGGGGGTGTCCTGATCCCATCGTAGCCTGGGGCGAAACCAGCCAGGTGACCCCGACATGAAGGAGCTGGGAGACTTAAGTGTGCCTGAGCGACCCAAAATCATCCAAACTGGTCGCCCTCCTCCCAGGTCGAACCCGCTGCCATCTCAGAGCAGAGTGACTGACACACCCAAGGATGTCCAAAATGCTGGCTGCTTCGCGGCTTTTGGTCTACATCCTGGGCTTCGGCTATTTGTTGACTACCAACATCCGTGAACTCTGGAAGCACATGAGCAGCCTTGAGGAGGTCGGAAGCACGCGCAGCTGATCGCATGTTGGGTTTTGTCGGACAGCACGCAGCATCTCGGAGTCGGACCGGGTTGAGGATATCGAGAACACGAAAGGATCATGAACGTTTTCGCACAAGACAATTGATGCGAGTGACTTTAATTAGTCCCACACTCCATGGGACTGGCATATTTACGTATACATTGGGGTGGTGCCAGAGGGGTCAATGGGGCGGCATATATGGCAGTCCCATGGAGTGTCTGGGAGTGGTTTCATGGAGGAGGAGACGTGCAACATCTCCTCTAAGGGTCTTGATTCGATCGCTCGGTCGACTGCCTTCCAGATCTCTGATGAGAAGGCAGATCTCTCAGTGTCTTGGGTGGGGTGTTCGGGACTCGATCGGTTTCTTCCAACCGGGTCAGTGGGATTCCGCTCCGGAGGATCACCGGCGACTTGGCGCATGTCGAAAGTGTCCTGAATTCTTGAAGAAGACCTCTGGTGTCCTCAGCCGCCTGGCGAATGTGATGCACGGAATGCCCATATGCTGTATGCTGCATGCATAGACAAGAACAGAAAGAAACACAATGTATTTTCTGAACCTTGTCACTGGATGTCACTGGTATATTATTCATGAATGGGAATTCCTAATGATTCACTGATGGATTTGAATTTGAATCTCCAGCACGTGAAGCTGTTCAGCCCCCACAAGGCTTCTTGTTGATGATGAACCTTGCAGTGATGCTCACAGCACCTTGGGTGATTGATTGAGAGAGAGAGAGAGAGAGAGAGCGCGAGCGCGGAGGGGATCGGGATCGATCATCGCCAATGCGTTGTTTCTGAGATCCTGCGACGCTCACGATCGGCGGCCGCGGGCCCGAACCGCCCGAGTTCGCTCTGCTTCCGGGCGAAGTCGGAAGCACCGGGTTTCAACCCGGAGACCACCGGAAAACTGGTAACGTTTGGATCCACTGGATCCACTGGATCGGATGAAACATCTCGTGTTCGTAACATGACATGCTCACATGCAGACGCGCCCGACTCGACTCCGACGGGTCTTCTTGCGACAGTCTTCGAAGGATTTTCTTCATGGTTATAGCCCGGCTGAGACCATCCGTTCGCAGGGCAAGACTGACCCGGAACCTGAGCGAAGCTTGCTGCCACCCGTTCACGCGCTTCGAACCCTACACAAGGGGTTCTATTTATTTGGCACTCCAGCTGCCGAGAAAACCCAGTTTCGCACGGAAGAGGCTGCCATCGATCACGTTTGCGATTCCTCCAGGCAGCCACCCTGGCAACGAGATGTTTTGCGATTGAGACCCTCAACAGATTTGGTGTCCCAGACACTCCATGGGACTGGTATATTTATATACCTACATTGGGGTGGTTTGAGGGGTCAATGTAGGCATAATATATGGCATACATGGAGTGTCTGGGTGTTGTAGTGTAAACTCCTATATTCGACAAATCCTGTTTCTTGGGATTCCAGCCTCTTCAATGGATGCTCAGAATCCAGGCTTGATCTCGGGTGGCCTTGGGAGACTGGTCTAACTGGTGTAAACATGTGCAAACTGCGCGCCTGGTCAACATCCACACGTCATTCTCGGTCATTCAAACACCACCTGTGAAACAATCTCGCAGTCTCGTCATTCTCGGTCAGATGGTTTCACCTAAAGATCCAAACCGCCCAGTCGCACCGTGAGTGGTGACACGAAGCAGCCGGGTGAGACCGACGCGCGACGCGCTCGGCCCAGCGCGCTCGATGAGATCGATCGCGATCGGCCCCGGTTGGAAGCCACGGGTCACGGTCACCCAATCGTTTGGACAGGCGCCTTCCACCCGTGACGAGGTCGAACCCTTGCTCCATTGCTTCGGGAAGACGGAGGCGGACGACGTGAAACGATGGGGAGGGATGAGGGATGGACGGGGTGTGGTGAAGTTTCGAAGAAAAGCAAGGTCAACCTGGACCTCAGAGCAGGTCGTATGAGGTACAGGACAAGGCTGTGGGTCTTAAGAAAACATTAAGAAATACATAGAAATACTAGCCTTTGCAAAGGGTGTCTTTTGGATGGAAAACACCTATAGTATCTATAGTATAGAGTCAGTGGGTTTATGAACCACCCGACCTGGGTGGTGCCGGTTTAACCACCCACCAGACGATGTAAACAGACCGTCCTTTCCCTTGGGACCAAAAAGAGCCTGGCTCGTCTCGGTTCATCACCCGAGACCGACCATTCGGGCGGAACCGTTTTTGGGCAACACGAAGAAAAACCGAGGCGACCGAGGTTGACCGTTCCATGTTTTCCATAAAAACCGACGAAAAGAGAAGAAAGTTCCAAGTCTTGTTCCATTGCTCAAGTCTTGGAAACCTCTTCATGGCCCAAGTTCGCCCTGTTCTTCGCCCTTTTCAGGGATGGATCTCCTTTACCTGCGATGCCTGGACCGACCACATGCGTTCCTCGGCCCAACCCACCGTATGGAGTCCACTCACTCGGCCACCGCCTGCGGGGTGATCGACGTGTGGCGGAGGTCGGAATGGTGAGGCCTGACACGAAGTCTATGTGGGAAGAAATGATCTAGACTCACTGCCTCATGCGAGGATGAAGAATAGTGAAGAAGGGACATGGCCTCCATCATTGAACAATGAGCATGTATAGAGGTTTGTGAAGAGTTCTGCGAGTTGGGTATCTCGCCGAGCTGGCCGAGCTTCGGTGTCTCCAAGCTTCGGGAGGTGGATGTTCCAGGGGGGTCCCTCGACGCAATGCGGCGAGCTTGCGATCGTTGCTTCCTCCCCTCGTGGAACGGTGCTGAGCTCGGAAGTTCGAAGTTCACTTCGCCACCTTGAAAGTAGACGATCATGCGTGCGAACCCGAATTAATAAACGGGTTATATAACTAGAGGCGAGGGGATTTATGAATCCATATGAATCCTAATCTTTACATTCCAGCACCACCCAAAGGGTTTATAGACCCCCAAGATGTATACTTTCCATCTAATGACCACCCAAACTGGGTGGTGCTGGTTATATCAACTGCCTCTTCCCGGACGTCACATGTCGCTCGGGGGTGCCGGTTGCAGAGGTGCTCGGAGTAGAGGTGCCCCGACGTCACATCAACGGCTGGATGGGACCATCCATGTGACTCCTGGTTCCTGGTTCTAGTGACCGAACTTGATCATGCAGAGGCGGAGAGGGTAGGTAGGTCGGTTCTTTTTCAGGCTGAATTGGCAGGTCGGCTGGTTTTTTAGAAAGCACCGCTTTCTGGACCAATACCCTACAAGTCAAGGACATCATTCTACTGGAGATGGTCATTCAAAACCAATACTTAGTCGACCAAGTTTTACCGGGTCAGACTGGACGAACGTAGGGAATACGTCCTTTGCCTGTGTCCTTGGAACCAGCCCCAAAAAGCTCCAGGTGAAACCGTCCCCCTTTGGACTCCCTAGACACCTGTGGACCGTCCCTCGAAACCTGTGCATCTGAGATTTGGTCCACGAGATTTGTTTGGTGCTCGGAATCTTCTTGCACCTTGGGAGGAGTCGTGCTAGCTGTCGACAAGTCACGTGGACGTCTATACCTGGACCCGACTGACCCAGTGACTGACCCAGTACCTTTGAAAATGGGACATGACCCCTTGAAAAACAGGTATACTTGTACCCATGTTCCGAGGTACTTTGAGACTCCAGGTATTTAGTTCATATATAGGTCAGATGGTACACAGGTCTTTCATAGCCCTGTTCTGAACTCCTTGGAACTTCAGAAGCACGCAGAAGAGTCAAACTGGAAAGAGATAGACATTATATAGGCATTACGTGAACCATGGTCATGCGGAATACACGACACACGACTGGTCATGTCTTGTGCGGTGTTCTCAATGGTTAACATGCACTCTCCCAATGTGACCCCGAAACCGATGCCTTTTGTTCGTGGACACTGCGGTGTCCAGTCCGGGCAGCCTCACGAAACCAGGCACCCGATCGGCAGCCTGAGTCGTTCATCGTGGTTTTTCAGTACCCAGACTATATATGGGACTGCCATATGCCGTCCCATTGACCCCTAAAACCACCCCAATGGAGTGCCTGGGGTATGACTCTCTGGGTCCCATGGGTTCCCATGGGTCTTCTGGCGATCGGTCTCGTGTCGATCGGTCTCATCGGGTCTGGAGATGTGAGGTGCGACTGCAGGCCATGGCAAAGCTGAATGGGACTGACCGTCTGACCCAGTAAAAGCTAGTCCGGTCATGTGTCTTTGTAGGATCAACTCCCAGCAAAATGAGGTCCAACCAAGCTGTAGTAGGGTACACCAGACGGTGAGTGCTTCGTAATCGCAACCGGGAAGCGATGGCTCCACCGAGGTATGTGCTGTTGATCTTTGGTATTGGCAGCAATATCTCCATCACGCTCTCAGAGTACCGCGTCTTGTGTCTGCGTGCTGGGAAGCAGGCAGGACGTGAACACGCCGGAAGAAGGGGTGGGTTCTTGGCCACGGAAACAGGTACGGACCGGCAGCCCATCGGAGGGGCAGCCAGTCGGGAGTCAGTGTTTTGAACGAAGAAAACCAACGATTCGGGTGGTTTTCGTTGGGATCCCTGGCCCTGGCTGTCTATATTTAAGCTACTAAGCTCTATTAAGCGTATTAAGTGGGTATCATATAATCATAGATAAGCTGCTAAGATTCAGTCTGCTATGCAGGATTTGGATGAGTAGAACCTTTGCGTATCGATTTATGGCCGTGGCATTGCTCTCTTAAGCAATCCAATTGAAGGGTGATGGATTCCCAGGGAATCGCCTTTGCCGGCTTCGGAGTCCTGATTGGGTGGTGGCTGAACCGCGCTGACCCAGTGCGTGAGCAAGCTCCTTGTCAGTGTCTGCAGCTGTGCTTTGCCTGATTTGGTGGTCCAGCGAGAGAGATTCTCATCGATTGAGTGGCTGGCTGGGATACTTGGTGTTTGTCTCATTTTGGGATTGCTTGCTTTCGGCCTGATTCTTTTCCCCAAGAAGACATTAGATTCCGGTGAACACGTGTTGAACTTCTCCTTTAAAGGGGGGTACGGAAAGGGAAAATACGGAGCTGAAAGGGGACTGCAAATCTTAGACAGACCAGTGAGATGGCTGAGCCAATTCATCAAGGGCATCTGTGTTCGCGGAGTACGCAGGCTTCCCAGGAGTCATCCACACGAGACTAGCGCTAGATCACGTTGAGGGCAATGAATGGGTGGTGGTGACACCCGATGCCGACATGTACGTTGAGGAGCTGAGCCCGGCTAACTCTGACTTCTCCAGGTTTTTCCACATGCCAGACGGGAACCTCCCGCCTCGCATTCCTCGAAACCAAATCTATGCCTTTCAACCTATGACTGCCCAGCAATATGCCCGCTTCGTCTCCAGAGGACAGGCCATGGCGGTTGCCGAAAGAGACAGTCGAGGACTACGCGCCCCGCCAGGTCCGGCAGCACCAGCCGCTGGTCCTGCTGGCGCAGATGGAGCAGCTGATGAGCACGTTTGGGTCTTGGCAGAAATGGTCTCGGGTCATAAGCTTGGAGAGGAGGTAGTGGTTCCCCCAGAAGCTGCTCGAGATGGTGACCATGCATTGATTCACAGATGATAGCAACTTTGATCGCACCGTCCGGGCACAACGATGTAGGAAAGAAGACCTCGGGGTACTTTGTGAATCTCTCATCCAGTCATGCCGCCTAGCGGTTGCCTCTCATGGTGAAGACACTGAAGCTGCAGCAGATGTTCGCACCCTATCCATTCGATACAATTCGAATGGGGAAAGGTATCGGGATTTTCGTGGCTCCATGACGACATGCGACAGGTCGAATTTGACGACTGGCCGCTCGAACCCCGGACCTCCCTCGGCTATATACCTGAGAGCAGTCAGCGAACTCTCCGAGTCTTGTTATGAGCACCACATCAACTGGTGTCAGAGCAGCCGAATCCCGGAAGCGCTCTCGGTCTGGGAAAATGAGACTTTGATTCGGGCCATAGACTTCTCGAGAATCCCTGTGGTTCTCGAGAACCCAAAGTCCTCTCGATCTTGGATCACTCCACTGCTGAAAGCTCTTGCCGCATCGGGCATGCTGAAGTGTTTTGATTTGGATTTTTGCCAGTACGACGAACGATGGAGGAAACCTACGCGCCTGGCTGCGGCTAACGTTGATTTGGCTCCGCTGTGCAAAGAGTGCAAAGGAAGCTTTCTTCAGTGCAGTTTCTCTGGCAAACGTCATGTACAGCTCAAAGGTACTGACAACCAAGGCCGTATCCATATCAGTTATGCAATGATCTGGCTGGTATTGTTTCTAAATACTTCAGTTCGCTCTGCGGATAGGGGAGCAAGGAAAGGCCATTGGTGAAACCAATCTCCATTTCAAGCCACCTTGCTCTCATCATGGCAGCTCATAGCTGCCGAGTGACGCTGCCGTTGGCATCTGGCCAAAAGAATGAGCACAGGTGGAACGGCAATCATTCAGTCTGCTAGGCAGGATTTTGATGAGTAGAATAGAACCTTTGCGTATCGATTTATGGGCGTGGCATTGCTCTCAAGCAATCCAATTGAAGCCGCCTCCAAACCCCTCCACCTCACACAGGGAGCAAGGAAAGGCCATTGGCGAAGCCAATCTCCATTTCAAGCCACCTTGCTCTCATCATCGCAGCTCATAGCTGCCGAGTGACGCCTGCGCTACAGATTTGAACCAAGCTGCCGTTGGCATCTGGCCAAAAGAATGAGCACAGGTGGCACGGCAATCATATACATATATATAAGCTACTAAGCTACATAGAGCTCTCTCTCTCTATATATATAGTGGGTATATCTACTACTAAGCTCTAAGGGCACGAAGTGACAAGAACTGAATGCGATGATGCAGTGCTGTGACCAGAACTGAGGGACTCTGTCTATGACTCAACATACCGGACATCACTGATGGACATCTCTTTTTTTCACACGGTCGAGTCTTGTAACCGTTTTTGAGAAATTTCTTTTGCAAAAGGGTTAAAGAAACTCTAATTTGGATTGGTTCTACAGTAGTTGTTTTATGCAATGCTTTGAAGCCTCAAACAATTAGGTCCCAGTCTTTTGGTAGATTCCTGTCATTCGGATGGCTCCCCAACCCTGGTTTCAGGTTTTTATGGCATGACATCGTGCGGTCCCTTGTTGGAGAAGCGGCAACTGGCAGTGTTTCTGTGGTTCCTATAGTTCCCATGTGGGTGGGCTCTTTGAAAGGAACACAGGTTTCTGTGTTGTCCACGGTCCCTAGGTCCTAGGTTTTCTCAGACTCAAGAAACTTGGAAGATTTTGCAAATATAAATGAAGTTGCAAGAAGTCAATCAAAAAAATGTTTCGGAACATTTCTCAGATTCTTTGTCTTAGCGGTTGTCATTTTCAGAGTCAGATGCCATTTAGACGCCCTGGGAATTCTGTCGGATGTGCCTTTCAGTTGGGCTCAGCTAGCTTTGTCCATCAAAACATGCCAGCAGTGGCAACAGCGGCAAGCGTGAGTAGCTGTTTTGTTTCAGTGCAATTGATTGGTGGTGGACACAATCCTGAAACGACAGAAGTCATGGCCTGGAGCTAAATGACGATCAAGACACTTGTTACAAGATGTTACAAAGGGAACCCATTCATAGCATAAAATGAATTATTACTATGATATAGCGTTCACTTATATAAAGTATCCCTCTTTCAGACCCAAACTGCACAAGCTGCACATCTTTTCAGAGCCAAATTTCGCAGGTGATGCTTTGCATGAGTGTGGTGACATTGGTGATTTTCACCTTCGGCTTCTGTATCACTGCGATGACCCGTGAGGCGAGTTCCGACTCGAGCGGAGGGACGCGAAGTGCTTGTGGACTGCATGGACACCTTTCTTCACGACGTGACGACACCATGCTATAGAATGCTATATCCCAAACACTCCATGGGACTGCCATATATGCCCTGGCACCACCCCTGGCCGTTTCTCGGCAGTCCTATGGCAGTCCCAGACAGGTCGTGTTTGGATCTTGCTGCTAAATACATGACTTGCAAACGGAACATCCCATCGCTCCACATCGAGGATGTCTTGCTTTCGGAATGCCGACACCGACCGGGGGGGAGAGGGTCGAAGGGTCAGGCGTCAAACCCCTCCGGAGGCGTCCTGGAGGAGATTTTTTGGGGACCGGCCAAAAGTACCTGGAGTCTCAAAGTACCTCTGAAAATGGGTACAAGTACCTGTTTTAAGGGGTAATGTCCCATTTTCTAAGGTACTTTGGAGGGTCTAGGTGTACTCACTCATCGGCAAAAAAGGAAGAGACAAGGCAGACACCGAAGCTGCAAAGAGGTGCGATCAGCCTGTGAGGGTGTTGGTTGCATGCCCAGACACGACCTTTTTCGGCAGATTCACCTTGCATTCATCCTTGGAATCAACCACTCCAATGGTGATTCTAGGTGAATAGTGAAGAACCACCCATGATTTCTTCTTGCATTGACCCATGGAATCACTCCTATATACATATATATATATATATATATATCCCCCACCGGTGTTAGCCTATAAAATGCCGATGCTTTTACCCTATATTATGCACAGCCTAAATCTTCCTGTGTTTTGGGGGAATTTGGGGGTACGAGGTCCATTTTGGCTATATATATATATACTTTAAGGATTTTGAAGCTCTGAGAGTCAAAGGGCATTTCATAGGATGATCGGCTTTTTCATAGATTTGATACTGGGACATAGTCAGTGCATTTAATATGCAAGTGGATTTTAGTGTTAGATGAGTACAGGACCCAGCAAGGCCATTTTCTAAACTACACTGTTTTATCAATGTTCTTTGACATGTTCATACATTGTCCAACTAAAAGGAAAACAGACTCTAATCATTCAAACAAATCAGTATAGACCTTGCAGGCTTTGTAGTTAGCTGGAATTCACCTGCTGGGCTGTTCTTGCAGTGTTGGTTGGCTACATGGATACTTTTGGGTAAATCTTCAAACCAGACACATTTAGAGACCAATGAGGGTATCTGGGCCGTTGGCATGTAGACATAGGCTTACCTGGCACAACGGTAGTATATTATATAAAATGCCCCCGGTGGGTGCCTGCCGGCGTTAGGGCCTTTGCACTTGCCCGCCCATCAGTATCAGGTGTAACTAGCTGGAAGCGTGTGGACACAGGCAATCCAGACGTACCTGGCACAATGGTAGTATCTAACATGGGTCCTTGCACCCACCCTCCACATTGTATAGACTAGCTGGCTTCGTAACTACTGTAGCTGGAAGCCATCCCACAGCCACAGGCTCTATGGTAAATCTTTACCTGACTCTTTTGGAGACCTATATCCTCTAATTGGAGACCCTTGACCATGTTTGGTGAGGTTCTGCGGTGTTGTGAGGCAATTTATAAATTGTGAATGTGTGCTTTATAATTTTGTGCTTGTCTTTTCTATTTTTTTTGGCAGTGGGACCTCACTGGGCATTTTATAGAGAGTGCACGTTTTGATCCATTTTCTATCGTGGGCCCGATAATTATATTTAAGGGCTGCCGCCCCTGCCGCCGACCCCGATTCTCAGGTCCGGCTTTTCCTCCATTGGTTGGCAACACGTCACTAGCAACTCTGTAAAGATGGCCGACAGAAGACCGAGAGGAGCCTACATCACTCCACTTAGAACATCATCCTTGCAAACAACATGTTTCGGTCGATTTCATCAGCTCCAATGCCAAAATCGAATCAGACAATATGGTTAATAATACGACAGATAAGATGACATGACATGGTCTAGTTAGGATTTAGCAGGATCAGTTAAAACATTCCCGCGTTGAAGACAAACATCGATCGGCATGGCCGGCTGTGGAGCCTCCCATGGTCGCACTTTGGCTGCCTAACGCCGCCTCTGAATCCCTAGAAAAAAAGAAGTTTGTGTCCATTTGTCTCGGTCATCTTAACCCCGAACACCTGGTCCCACCACAGCTTTTCTCAATCTAATTCTGGTCCAAAACAAGCCTCCCACGGTCGCACTTTGGCCCCGAACACCTGGTCCCGCCACAGCTTTTCCCAATCTAATTCTAGTCCAAAAACAGCCTCCCAAAAAGCATCTGAAACCACCCCTTCGCTGCTCCCAGTCAGTCCCTTCGCCACAGCTTTCCACAATCTAATTCGATACACAAAATGCCACCCCTTCGCCAATTCCTCGGACGGTCGGTGTCAAACGGACGCTCTGGATCCCTAGAAAAAAACACTTTCCTAGCATTTTCCACCACTAACCAGCCTCCCAAAAAGCATCTGAAACCACCCCTTCGCCACGGCTTTAACCCATTGAGTTCTGCTCCAAACGAGTTCCTCGGACGGTCGGTGTCAAACGGACGCTCTGGATCCCTATAGGGTTTGCTAGCATTTTCCACCACTAACCAGCCTCCCAAAAAGCATCTGAAACCACCCCTTCGCCACGGCTTTAACCCATTGAGT